TTCACTACTCCGAAGATCTCTAGAGTTGGACACTGACTATTAGGAGTGGATATTGAATGTTGAATTTCATGATGAAATTGAAAATTTTAATAGCATAATTTTAATAATATGGTATTTAGTGACGTTTGACAATAATAATTAGATATTTTTTTTATTTGAAATTTTGAAGTTTGAATTGTTTTTTATTATATTTTTTTACAACAAAATAGATCATCATACAGAGTCGTGAATATATAAGCTACTACTTACTATTACAATTATTTTGTCACTTTATTTGAAAATTTTAAATTTGAAGTTGAGGATGGAATGTGTTTAATCATAAATTTTTACAAATAATATCTAGTTGTTTCAATGTACTTTTCCTTTAAAAATGAAATACAATTTAAATGAAATCGCTTTTATAGAAATAAAAATATTAGGATAAAATTAAAAAAGAAAAAAGATATGGTAAAGTGAAAAAAAAAAAGGTGAATTTTGAAAATTTCATGATCAAATGCTAATTTCAAATGTAAAGTAAAAAAAAACCTCAGTGATCAAACGGGTTCCTAGGATTTCTCACACTTTTTTCTCCTTGATGACTAGAACCCACAATAGAATTAGAGATGATGAGTGTTTATTATCCAAACAACTTATTAGTTGTGATATAGTAAAATTAACATTTAATTTTTTACTTCTTAAGGGTTATGTCAAGTCAAATATGGACAAGTGAATATAGATGGAGGGAGTAATTTTTTTATACATTAAAATTTTGACTACTCTATTCTGACCATGAAATTTAAATGGAATCACTTTTATAGAAATAAAAATATTAGGATAAAATTAAAAAGAAATAGATGTAAAATGAAAAAAAAAAGTGAAATTTGAAAAATTCAAGATCAAATGTTGATTTTCAAATAAAGTAAAACAAACTTTGTGGTCAAGCGGGATCCTTGGAGCTCTCACACTTTTTGTCTCTGATGACTCAAACCCACAATAGAATTAGAGATGAGGAGTGTTTTGTTATTCAAGCAACTTTTTTGTTATAATAATTAGATGTAATATAATAAAATTAACATTTTATTTTTGCCTCTTAAGGGTTATGCGAAGCCAAACATGGACAAGTAAATATGAATGAAGGGAGTAATTTTTTTATACATTGAAATTTTGACTACTCTATTTGATCAAAATATTTTTTTTTGTGTAATTGATTAACGAAGAAAAACTTGTATATTTTCTTTCGAATATTTCTACTTGTGTAAAGTGTTAATATGACATAATTATGATGTTTCTTGAAAATTTAAAGTCATAATTCTCTATTATTAAGTCTATGTAAATCAAAATCAAATAAATTATGATTACCAATTTAACGCATAAAAAATATCAAAATCAAACTTGAAATTATCACACCATACCATATTAATTTATATGGTAATAATAGTCTTTTACAAAAAAAATAAAAATTATTGAAACTATCATATTCTTACTACTGTATCATACCATGTTCATTCTTAGTGACTATTCAGTATCCACATATTTAGTTGGTGAAAATGTCATGAAGTGCCCTCTTTGGGTCACTTTATTTAATTAATATTTTCATTCAATGGTTTTTTTCCCACCAATTTTCAGGCAAAAACACATTGGTTCTTTTTTTTTTTTGCTTCTTATATTTTTGTTTAAATGTTCAGGCACACACACGTAAAAGTTTAGCCATTTATAATCTTTGTTACACTCAAATTTGACATAGTGCAGACATACATGAAAAAAATTAAAAATTACTGATTGAATTTATTAGAATTGTTATGTTGATAAATCGATGATTGCAATTTGTTCTTTATGATACATGATATTTATGTTTTAAATTTAAGCTTATTTAGGATATTTGGGTGTTGAAATTTGAAAAATAAATTTATTTTGTTTTAACAAAAAAATTCAGGTGCACACAGATGAATTGAGAATTTACAGTTCATTTAGCATCGATTCCATAGGTTTGTGGTATGATCTATGCAGAGTTTGATATTTTATTCTCGATAGGTTTATGTGTTGGATTATTAAAATTCGAAGAACACAAAAATTATTTCGACAAAATAAATTCAAATACACATGACTAAGATTTAATGAAATTTTTATATATGCTTTACGTGAATTTTCAACCTCACTCTCGTATGCTTGAATTATTTTCAAACCGGATAAAAAAAGTTAAAAAAATAATAATTATACTACGATCATTAGTTAAATGGTGACCCTAAAGCGGATATTTGCGCACTCTCCCCCCCCCCCCCCCCCCCCCCAATTTAACTTGGTACATGGGCTGCCCTCTATTCCCACAATTGCTATCAGAATTAGAATTGTATTAAGGCAAATTATACAAATCTCACTAGTTTAGCTCCTAATTACTAAGATTTATGATTGTTTGAAATATTACTTTCTATACCATATTTTAATTTTTGGATACATGTATCATTACTTGCCAGATACATGTATTCGTCATTTTTAAAAGTTGAGATACATGATTTATTAGTTTGAATTAAAGGGGCGTAAATTATTACCTTAATTAAAGGAGTAATTGATGAATAATTAATAATTCAAACAAATTTACACATCCTTTCCGTATCAACTCTAACAAATTTTCCTAAAATAACGAAATCATAATAATTCTCTAATTGTAAACGTCATCTTCTTCGCAGTATCTTTTTAAGATTAATGATCTTAGATTTACGATTGATGATTTTGTTGGCATCTATCTTAATGTTGTTATTGTATCTCAGAAATGTATATGATGTATATTTTCTTAATAGTAATGAATTTAGATTTAAGAGTAGTATAATGTATATCTTCTTAATAGTAATGAAATTAGATGCAAGAGTATCGACGTTTTTATCATATATAGTTTTATAGCATGTATCTCGGACAAATAATGTATATCGCTATTGTTGCACTTGATGTATATCTGAGTATAATGGTGTATCTGTTATGTTAAGTAAAGCTTGACGTAATTCTTCAATTTTGATTAGGTCATTCCTATACTTAGATCTATTCTCGACTTGAATGTTGACAAATAAAGAGTCAAACCCTGCAATGAAAAATTCATGAATGAAAATAAACAAATAAAGGTATTTGATTTGGTATATAATTGTTAAGGAAAATTACTTAACTAGACATACATTACTATCATATATACTTATTTTACCTTTAGTTTAAAATAATTACACATATTACTACTTTTAATATTTATACCATATATTTTAAAAAATTTGATCAGATACACAAATCTCTCAAATATGGTATTGAATAAATATCTTAATATTTGAACTCCTTAATTAATGGTCCATTAACTATTCAAATTACTTCTCTCACATCAGGGTTTCCTTCTCTCAATCTCATTACCCGACTGAAACTTTCACACCCACCCCCACGTCCTTCACCCACATCCACCATCTTTCTCTCTTCCTTCATCCTCTCAATACATGTTTGCATATCTAAATTTCAAATTTGAATCTGACAATCAACATTATACATAGAGGTTTGTTACTATTGTTTCATTATTTTCGTATCTTGGTTTCCATCCCTTTCATGTATCTGAGATAGAGTTCATATTGTTGTAAAGATCAATTTTAATGAGTTTTACAAATCAGCTTTTACCGTTTTATGTTGTTTGATTTTGTTGTGTCTCAAGCTACTTTAATAGCTGATCATTCACAAAATCGGATGATTTTTATTAAAGGTGTAAAGTTCAATTTTTTTTAATTTTTTTTTTTACAAATTAGGTTTTACATTGTTTGATTTTGTTGTTTCTCAAACTACTTTAATGGCTGACCATTCACAAAATCGGATGATTCTTGTTAAGGTACAACACATTAATAATAGGGCAAACTACATAAATCCCACTAGATTAGGTCATAATTACTAAGATCCACGATAGTTTGGAATATTACTTTCTATACCGTATTTCAATTTTTGAATACATGTATCATTATTCGCCAGATACATGTATTCGTCATTTTTAAAAGTCGAGATACACGATTTATTAGTTTGAATTAAAGGAACGTAATTTATTTCCTTAATTAAATGAGTAATTGATGAATATTTAATAATTCAAACAGATTTACAACATCCTTTCTATATCAACTCTAACAAATTTTTCTAAAATAACAAAATCACTTCTTCGCAGTATCTTTTTAAGATTAATAATGTTAGATTTACGATTGATGATTTTGTTGACATGTATCTTAATGTTGTTATTGTATGTCAGAAACATATATGTATATTTTCTCAATAGTAATGAAATTAGATTTAAGAGTAATATAATGTAAATCTTCTTCATAGTAATGAAATTAGATGTAAGAATAATGAAGTTTTTATCATGTATCTTAGTTTTATAGCATGTATTTTCGACAAATAATGTATATCGGACAAATTTATTTTTGAGTGTAATGTTGTATTTGTTCTCCTAAGTAAAGCTTGACGTAATTCTTCCATTTTGATTATGTCGTTCCTATACTTAGATCTATTCTCGAATTGAATGTTGGCAGATGAAGAGTCAAATCTTGCAATGACAAATTCATGAATGAAAACAAAGAAATAAAGGTGTTTGATTTGGTATATTATTATTAAGAAAATATTACTTAACTAGACATACATTACTACCATATATATATATACTTATTTTTACCTTTAGTTTAGAGAAGATGGTCTAACCCCCCACCCTCCCCCCCCCCCCAATCTATACCTGAAATCCCAACAACACACTAACTTCACGGGTATCTTCTTACCCCCTTGAACATTTTTAAAATGAAATATATACCCCCTTAAAACGTCATACCCAAATTTATGTTAAGGAGTGAGGTACATTCGCCTGCCACATCATATATTATTATTTTTTTAGTAAAAAAGTTATTATTCTTTGTCTTTATTTTATATTTTCCTTTCTCTTTTTCTCTTTTGTTTTTTAATCCTCTTTTGACTTTTCTTTGACACCAACTTTTTCTCCATTGATATGAAACCTAGAACCGAGCATCGAAAATTTTTCAGCTCCTCCATTGCTTCTCTCTCAAAAGACAAAAAGACAAAAAAACGATGAGCAGATCAGGTCAGCCTCCAGATCTCAAAAAGTATATGGACAAGCAGCTTCAAATCAAGTTGAATGTCAACCGCCAAGTTGTGGGGACTCTTCGTGGGTTCGATCAGTTCATGAATTTGGTTATCGACAATACTGTTGAGGTCAATGGAAACGATAAGAATGAGATTGGCATGGTAGTAATTCGGGGTAATAGCGTGGTGACAATTGAAGCTCTGGAACCGGTTGCAATGAAAAATCATCGATATCTCTGTTCAGCAAAAAAAAATTTTAAAAATTAGATGACAACATTGATATGTTCGTGTGGTCAATTAGTTTTCGAAATGTAGATGGCATATTGGAGTTGGATATGATGGCAAATTCAAAGTGAATTCGTGATTTGAAGTATAAAAAATTATTTTATATTTTTAATCTCGTTGTTATGATCACTGTCATCGAAAATTTATTTTTAGTGTTTTAGAAATTAATCTATCCATCTCACTTTTAAATATTTCTTAATTTACTATTACTCAAAATTCAATAACAACACGTACTATGATAGATCTGAAAAAAAGAAGGTGAAAATAGCAACATGGCAACAATAAACTTAGTATGTGAGAATGAAAAATTGAAGTTTATGATTAAAAGAAGGAGATCCAATTTATTCTGAAAAAAAAGAGAGGAAAAAGATACGATTAGTGATAGCTAAATAATGAAATAAATTTATGGCATTTTTCGGAGAAGTGTTGAAGAGAAAAAGAAAGAAGACAAAAAAAATTAAAAAGAAAAGATAAATAGAAGTAAAAGATAACATAATTTTTTTTAAAAAATTAGAAATTTAATATGAAAAGGGGAAATTACTTGTAAAGTTAAAGTTTTAATTAAAAAAAGTGTCTTCTCACTCTCTTTGAGAAAGTGAATACACTTTCTTTGCCACCTCAGCATATAGGGTGACATTAATTCCATTTTAAAATAGTTCAAGGGGGTAATAGGATCATCGTGAAGTATAGGTGTGTAGTGGAAATCGAACAAATAATGTATATCGGACAAATATGTATCTGATTGTAATGATGTATTTATATAGTTAAGTAAAGTTTGACGTAATTCTTCCATTTTGATTAGGCCGTTCCTATACTTAGATTTATTCTCGAGTTGAATCTTGGCAGATGAAGAGTCAACAAAGACAATTTCATGAATTAAAACAAACAAATAAAGGTGTTTGATTTGGTATATTATTGTTAAGAAAAAATTACAGAACTAGACATACATTACTATTATATATACTTATTTTACCTTTAGTTTAAAATAATTACATATATTACCACTTTTAATATTTATACCATATATTTTAAAAGATTTAATCAGATACACAAATCCCTCAAATATGGTATTGAATAATTATCTTAAAATTTAAACTCTTTAATTAATGGTCCATTAACTATTCAAATTATTTCTCTCACATTAGGGTCTCTTTCTCCCAATCCCATTACTTGACTGAAACTTTCACCTCTACCGCAACGTTCTTCACCCACCTCCACCGTCTTTCTCTCTTCCTTCATCCTCTCAATACATGTTTGCATATCCAAATTTTAAATCTGAATCTTGACAATCAACATTATATGTAGATGTTTGTTATTGTTTGTCACGATCCAAAGTACACCCTAGACGTGACATGGCGTATAGGACCCCGAGAGGCCCTACACAAGCCATTTAGCATACATCATACAAGATAATATAATTTAAAGAGTTTAAAAGATAACATTTCATATAAACGAGTTTTTGAATCAAAGCAGAAGTCTAACATTTGTCTCAATAAGCCATCTAATACATCATAAGGAAAGTGATTGAGACGTAACTCATACATCACATACAAAGTCTGAAATTGAAATGACATAAAGCTATAAAAGTGACATCGTCATCGAATGTATAAGGACTCACGAAGTCTTCAAATCTCTAGTGCAATCAACTAGTCACGAACGGAAAGAGATTTAGAACAAAATGTGGGGTACATAATCTGAATACACAAAAAACGTGAATCGATTCTACATACAAGAAACTAGAGGAGTTAGTGTGATAATTTTCTGAGAAAATAACTAATATGGTCCCTTACTTTTAAAAATAGGTTCAAAATAATCTCTTAAATATTCATGAAACAATTTTAGTCTTGTAAGTTTGTAAAAACAATAAATAGTTTTAGTCTTTGTCAAAAATTAACCATTTATCTTTTATACTATCTTAAAAGCATGAACTCATAACATGAATGTTAAATTATTATAACACCCCTACTTAAAACCCCCATCTATATGTATTTGAATAGCATATGTATGTTCTCTTGAAAGGTTGTGACTTTTCCGGTGAATTGTGACTTTTCCGGTGAATTGTGACTTTTTTGAATGGTTGTGACTTTTCTGATGAGTTGTGACATTTTGACCCTTTTTGTAGCTTTTATATGTCATTTATGACTTGCAAGGATATGTGGCAAGATTTCCGAGGTAATCGGATGTGTTTCGAGGAAGATTTTCAGTTTTGGAAGTTTAACCAAAGTCAAAATTTTGGATTAATGAGGTCAGATTCAAGTTTTGACAGATCTGTTAGGTCCAAAGGATGATTTTTGACTTAGTTGGGTGGTTTGCACGGATCCCCAGGCACTCAGAAGTGATTTGGATCATTAGATGATTCTAGTATTTTGGAAAGTTTAGAGTAGATCACAATCAACATTTGGTCAAGATGACCTTGGATTGGCTACTTGATGATTCCACCAGGTCCGAAACTTGTTTTATGGTCAATCTGTTTTTTTCTAAAGGGTTGTGACTTTTTTGATGAGTTGTGATTTTTTTCAAAAGGTTGTGACTTTCTCGATAAGTTGTGACTTTACAAAGGATTGCGACTTTTCAAATGAGTTGCGATTTTTTCAAAGGGTCGTGATTTTTCAGACAAGGCACAATAAGACCTTGTTAATACTACATTTAATTTGCTATAAATAGAGGGATTTCCTCTCATTTTTCACCACAAAAATTTTCTAATCTTCTACTCTTCTTTTTCTTACACTTAAAACTTTTTTGTATGATATTGTCGTTGAGTGAGTTTGTAGGTCACTGAAATTTGAGGTACCACTATTTTGATTAAGTAAATCTTTCAATTCTAAGAGGATATATTCCAAAACCTCGACTGCTTGAGGGAAATAATTTTTGATGATATAATAATTTTTTTTATTTTTTTTCTTAATATCTATAGTAGTATGTAATATTCCAATATATGAAGCTAATGTGAAGTAGTTTAAATTCATTTGTTTTTGTTAACAATTTCTCCTATGATGCAGATATATGCTTTTGAATATATTTTTCAATATTGAACTTCTCATGAGTCAGAGAATTGTCACAAGTTGTTTTGTTGATGCTCAAGACATAAGATAATTTTTTAGAAAATGTTATTTATGTGATTGAGATTGTCAAGAAGTTTGCTTCAAAATAGTTACTCCTATATAAACATTTACCTTTTGTTTTACTTATTTACTTTTTAAAAAATATTATGTATTTTTGTCGAAGAAAAATTAATATGATTTATAATGACACCGGGTTGAAGAGTGTATTAGTTAAATTTTGATTATTTTTATTTAATTGCTATTTTTTATGAGATAAATATTTTTATTATATGCAAATCTTATATAGATACATATATTTGGATAGGTATTTGTATTTAAATTAAAGTATTATATATTTCATGAAAGTATCATCATGTTAACTAGATCTTCTAACTTCAAAATATGTTATTTTTAAATGTTCTAATTTCTTCTCTCTTTTTTTCGTTTGCAATAAATCTATATTAAGTAATATGGAATAAACGTGCAACACACGGGAAACTTTAAAGTGCAAAGTTGGAATATCATTTTCCCCTACACTAAATTAGAAGTCCTATTTATAAATACAGAATTAATAAAAAATTCAGCTATAACGCTTTAATTCTTTAGTTATGATATTATAAATTCTCTTAGTTATTACTAATTATTGCAAATATTACTCAGAACCTTTTACATCCTTTAGTTATAACATTACGAATTCCGTTAGTTATTACATTAATTATTTCTATGCATCATCTTTCCTTATATTAACTTTTTTCTCGATAACTTTTCACATTCTTATATCACCCCTATATATATACATGATAGCACAATGTTGTTATTGACCCTTGAACGGATCATGTCTGATTAAATAAACTGAAAATTTCTTACAAGGATATGAATAATATCTTTGTCGAATGTAAGGTAAACATGTAATTATATACTCCCTCTGTCCTTAATTACTTGTCCACTTTTCCTTTTATAGTTGTCCCTAATTACTTGTGTTTAATTTTTAGTTTATCAATGAAAAAAAGAGAAATGAAAAGCCAAAGAACATCATTTGTCATGTACCTTATAAAATAAAAATTAATGTATAGAAATATAGTTATAAAAAAATAAAATGTAGTTGTTTTCTTCACATGTTCATATGTCATCTAAAAAAAATAATTCAAATACTAACTTTTTAAATATTTATACTATTAAGCGTGAAATATACATGCAACACACATGTTTGAGACCTAGTGTTTGTTAAATTTGACAAAAAAATATATATAAAAAAAAGAATTAACAATAAACACAAAAAATCAATTAAATTTTAAAATATACCGCACTATAATAAACAAATAATAAAAATTATACCACAAAAAATTGCACCAAACTCAAGAAATTAAATTTGTTTGGAGAAACTAAAAAAATTATACCTATAAATGTGAGTTTCCATGAATTTTCTGTTCTTTTTTCATAGCTCTCATCAAATCTAACAGATAGTTCAGTAAATATGTGACAAAGTTTAAAAATATTAACTTTTGATGAATTTAAAAATTTAAATTCTTCCGTGCATACTTAAAAGGACTATTTCAAACCTAGATTCAAATATAAGGGACCATTATTGTTATTTGGTCTCTACGATTGAATATTTTTTTAAAAAAATAAAGATGATAACGCCAAAATAGAGAGACAAATAATAAGGAGAAACACTCGCCTAAGACATCGCTAATTCAAACTTTGTAAGAAATTCAAACTCTCTCCCTCTCTCCTTTCTTCTTCATGTCAACAAAAAACAGAAAGTTTTTTTTTTTATGTTCAAATTTGTCTTTGCAATGGCGATAGAACCTATGATTTTTTTTTATTATGTAAATCCGCTAATCTAGCTTTATCAAAGGAGCAATTTTGAATTGTTACAATTCTGTGAATTGGGTTTTTGTATAATTGTATGATAACGTTAGTCTTGTAGTTTTTGCGATGTCAAAAATTGGTGGAAATGAAAAATTGTTGGATGATATTGAAGCTCTAAATAAAGCTTTATATTTGGATGATAAAGGTGGACGGAGGAGTTTGATGTTAGGAGCTAGTAATCGTTCAATGTCTGTAGGAAAAACCCATCAGAAATCGAAGAATAAAGATGATTTATCAGACAAGGAGAGTAAGAAATCCATCTGGAGTTGGAAAGGTCTAAAATCCTTAGCTGTTAGGAACAAAAAGTTTAATTGTTGTTTTTCTGTTCAAGTACATTCTATTGAAGGGTTATCAACATTGTTTGACGAGCTTTGCCTCGTTGTGCATTGGAAGAGGCGAGATGGTGAGTTAACGACTCGTCCTGTTGTTGTTTCTAAAGGGATAGCTGAGTTTGAGGAACAGTTGACTCATACATTTTCTATATCTGGTAGTAAGAATGGTCCTAATCAATCAGCAAAGTATGAGGCTAAACATTTCTTGTTGTATGCTTCTATATATGCTACTCCTGATCTTGATTTAGGAATGCATCGCGTTGATCTTACTAGGTTGCTTCCTCTTGCATTGGATGAATTGGAGGAGAATAGCTCAGGCAAGTGGACTACTAGTTTCAGGTTGTCAGGTAAGGCTAAAGGTGCAACCATGAATGTTAGTTTTGAGTATCACATAGTTGGGAAAACTTTTAATGTGTTTCCTAGCAATACGAGTCTTCTCGATGTGAAGAACTTGAGGCGCAATAGTGAAAATGTAGCAAAAATTTTGGCACAATGTGAGCAAAGTGATCAGCTGAGTAAAACAATGAGGCGAGCGGGGAGCCTTCCTGCTCGATCTTCTGCTTCACAGTGTTCTGCTGAGAATATAAAAGACCTTCACGAGGTTTTACCAGTTCCTTCGTCTGAACTTTCCATATCTGTAAATGTGATGTATCAGAAACTTGAGGAAGAGAAAGTGGAATGTTCAGTTGATTGCAAACCGCAGATAGATGTATGCTGTGATGATGTTAAGACCCTAAAACCCAACTTAGCCTTGCTATCGGAGCCTGAGAAGGGAAATATTGAAAATGGGGACGATTTAAGTGAGGTTTTTATCAGAGATCAAGGTATAGAAGTTGCCTCAGAGGTATGGGAGGGAAAAGAAGAAGAAACCACGAAAACTGGTGATACTCCTTCGGAAGAGAATGCTGAACCTAATAGTAGTTTTGGGATGTTCAATGAAGAGGAGCCACAGCTTGCATTGTTGTCCAAGGAAGTTGACACTGCGAATGATGATCTTTCAGTGAGCACCTGCAATTTCGAGACAAATGAATCTTCCAAAGAGTCGATCATGAAGGAATTGGAGTCTGCATTAAAGAGGGTGTCTGACTTGGCAAATGAGGGATTAGATTCCCAAGATGATGAAAATGAAGTTATAAATCATGATGGAGGCTTGGACAATAAAGGAAACTTTGGGGAACTTAGGAAAGGAAAATCCCTAAGCTTGGATTATGATGCTGAATCTGTGGCTAGTGATTTTCTGGATATGTTAGGGATAGAGCACACTCAATTTTCCCCGAGTTCTGAAAGTGAGCCTGATTCCCCAAGAGAACAACTGCTGAGGCAATTTGAGAAGGATACTTTGGCCGATGGCTGTTCCTTGTTCAACTTTGATAAGGACATTGATCACCTAGAATTTGCTTGTGATGCTTCAACTGGATCCGATTGGAGGAGCATTTATGAGGATTTTGATTATTCATGTAATGTAGATTCCTATGTAGAGATGCCAAAGATAGAAATCGAAGCAACAAGCAATAAAACTGGGGCGTCCATGTTGGAAGACTTGGAGACAGAGGCTTTGATGTATGAATGGGGCTTGAACGAGAGGGCATTTCAACATTCCCCTCCTAAGAGCTCAAGCGGTTTTGGAAGCCCAATTGATATTCCTCTTGAGGACCCTTCCCAATTGCCCCCTCTTGGAGAAGGCTTAGGACCCTTCATTAAGACTAAAAATGGAGGATTTTTAAGATCAATGAACCCTTCACTTTTCAAGAATGCCAAGAGTGGGGGGAGTTTGATAATGCAGGTATCCAGTCCAGTGGTGGTTCCTGCAGAAATGGGATCTGGCATAATGGACATACTGCAGCATTTAGCTTCCATTGGAATTGAAAAGCTCTCTATTCAGGCAAATAGATTGATGCCTTTAGAAGATATTACTGGCCAGACAATGCAACATATAGGATGGGAAACTGCACCAAGACTAGATGGAACTGTGAGGTTTGAATCTTTCACTTATATTTGAAATCGCACATATCTAGCACACTATTTCTCTTAACTAATTGTCTTATATGACTTCTACCTACTGCAGACAAGATTTGTTGCAGCATGAATTTGAGTTTGGACAAAATATGGCTGGTATTCAAAGTAATAAGGGGAAATTGCACAGACCAAAGTCCGGCAAGTTGGAGTCAAATTCTGCCGGGCTTGACAAGGACTCAGAATACGTATCACTAGAGGACCTTGCTCCTTTGGCGATGGATAAAATTGAAGCCCTTTCAATTGAAGGTTTGAGAATACAGTCAGGCATGTCAGATGAGGACACACCTTCTAATGTAAGCTCAAAACCCATTGGTGAGTTTTCAGCCATTGAGGGAAAGGAGGTCAACTTTGGAGGAGCTGTAGGTCTAGAAGGAACGGGTGGATTGCAGTTACTGGACGTTAAAGACAATGATGGTGGTGGTGAGGTTGATGGACTTATGGGCTTATCTCTCACTCTTGATGAATGGATGAAGTTGGACGCCGGAGAAATTGATGAAATCAGCGAGCGGACGTCCAAACTGCTTGCAGCTCATCATGGTACCTGCACTGACTTGTTTCGTGGTAGGTCGAAGAGACGTGGCAAGGGTAAGAATTGCGGATTGTTAGGGAACAGCTTCACAGTGGCCCTAATGGTGCAACTTCGTGATCCTTTAAGGAATTATGAGCCAGTTGGTACACCTATGCTTGCTCTTGTTCAAGTGGAGAGAGTGTTTGTAACACCTAAAGCTAAGATATACAGCACAGTTTCTCAAGTTAGAAAGAGCAATGAAGACAACGATGATAATGAAATACTCAAGCCCCCCAAAAAGGAAGCTGGTGGTGTGGAGGTGAATGAAGATCACATCCGTGATGATGAAGAAATCCCTCAATACAAAATCACTGAAGTGCATGTTGCAGGTTTAAAGACAGAACAAGGTAAAAAGAAATTATGGGGTTCGTCAAGTCAACAGCAATCAGGATCGCGTTGGTTGCTGGCGAATGGAATGGGAAAGAAGAATAAGCATCCATTAATGAAGTCAAAGGGTGGTAATAAATCATCGATAGCAGCTGCTTCTTCTCAAGCAACTACAACAACAGTGCAGCCTGGTGAAACGTTATGGAGTATATCATCACGGGTGCATGGTACAGGGGCTAAATGGGAGGAATTAGCTGCATTAAATCCACACATCCGAAATCCAAATGTTATTTTCCCTAATGAAAAGATTAGATTGAGGTAGTAGCATTGTACGTAGAACATCATTTATATATATGATTGAAAAAAAAAAAAGAAGCTTCAATCTCTCTCTCTCTCTCTCTCTCTACTTTCTTTTTGAAGAAATCATGATTTCATATAACAATGTAAGCTAAATTATTAGGCTTACCAATGTTGAATACAGGACACAACTAGAAAAAGACCAATAACAAATTCTAATGTAATTGGCAATGACCCCCTACCTTGTAAATTAAGATCTAGTGATGTATATCTCTAAAACAAATAAAAGAGAAAAGGCATAGTTGAAAGGAAAAACGGAAACAATAGATTTAGATATCATAATAAGTAACTTCTTCAATGGATATTTTGTGAAGATAGAAGATAGAGGAGATTCAACCATGGCAATAAAGGATTTTCACATTGAACCAAGGGGAGAGCAGCTTGCAGATACAGCAGAACGTATATCGTTTCAGCAAATGAAGCTACTACAAGACCAGCACGGTTATATCTCACATCGCCCATTAAGTACATAATTCAATACATAATTCAATCTTGATTGACATGTTTTATTCTGCCTAATCTGTAACCAGTCAACTAGCTCGCAAGCTGTAACCATGATGAGGCAAATGCTCAGCAGTCATTCCAAATCACATCATTTACTTGCGTTTGAAATCATTAAGAACACGTTTTATGATCAAACAAGGAGCACCAAAAAACTACAGCTGCAACATATGCTCCAGATGAACTGCATTTAGTTAGCATTGATACTGAAAGATGCATCTAATATCCAATTGTTTAGAGTTGAATAAAAGGGTGTCTTGAGGGAACTAAACTAGTTAAGCACCCTGATAAACATAAGAGACTAGAACTCTGACTACTCATGCCTTACTGATATTTGTAAGATGACAGTGAGCTGAGCTCAACATGAACAATTACAAGTTGTGGAACTCAGCACATATCTGATAGGGGATGTCACGGGCGTATCCTCTTGTTGCTGCATGAAGGGCATTTGTACTGCTTTATATGCTCGGCCTTGGCGGGGGTGATCTTCACACAGTTGCCATGGAACCACCTCTCGCACATGTCACAGAAAATCCAGAATTCATCTGAAGCATAGTTCTCACCACATGCACCACACAGAGTGTCGCCATGTTCATCTTCTTCTTCCTCATCGAATCCATCATCCTCATCTTTTACTTGAGGCTTTGAGTATTTACCCTGAGATTTAAAATAAAACAATGTGGATATCTGCTGTGCCATGCATGGAAAAAAAGCAATGAAGCATGGATCTATAACTAAGATGTCAACACATTAGAGGCATAATGATACAAGGTACATGGGCATGGTACTGAATTTAGTTAGAGGAACATGGCTTAGTGCATTGAAATAGCCACAATGACAATGAGGTAGACACAGTAACATCTAGTCTAGATGATGATACAACAACATACCCAGTGACAAGTTTAAAAGAGGATACTTCAGAAGACAGTAAACTTAGCACAAGCAACTGCAAGAAGCCACACGTTCATTTTATTTATTTATTTTGAGAAGAAAAGGCTTATTTTCAAAGCAGTTCGATACAATTCACTTAAGACAACCCAAAATGTACAAACATAGTGCAAAGAAAAATTAAGTGTAAAATGTTGCACAACAGAAGCACCAAATTCGCAAATAATTTTAGATAAGAGAACCGATTTATGCGAAAAGGTCAATTATGAAGCAGCTGCAGGAGTTGAGGTAGACATAAAACATTGGATGAAGTTACATAGGAGAAATTAAAGAATAATAATAATAACACAACACTAAGGCTTCATGGGAGTCTCATAGTTTACCTTACACAATACCTCTTTGGAAAAACTCCAGCATTGACTTCACCCTAGTCCCTAGGCATCTAAAAAGCCTCTTCTATCAAACTTAAGCATACAACACAATTGTAATTACTATAGTTCAAATCACTTTTAACTGACTAATAAGCCTTCCTCAAACTAGAAGCCGGGCAACCACTACCTGACCTGCCCAGAAATGCATAGACGCAAGCCTGTTCTGTTTTTACACCGAACACCAAGGTAAGCAATTATATAAGAAAATGACAAATCAACAATATATCAACTTAGGAGGCCCGTTTGAACTCCTATACTATTACAGGACAGAAAGATTAGTTTTCCCCTGTAGAAGAACATTATACAAATGCTTCACTTTCCTGATTCCTACCTCTCAATGTTATTAAACTGCTATGACAATAGCAAAACATCACTATATATGCCACTTACTGCTGTCGAGAGTCATCATACACATTTATAATTCAAAATGGGTGTGGATAATTGAAATCTGAACCATGTCTCAAATCAGAGAGGATCCATTTAGTGATTCATTGACCATATCTTAGGTTCACAAACATAAGTTTTGAGGAAAGTATTCAGTGGCAATGTCCTAAAGCTGAAGGTTTTCAGCTAAATACTGTCCAAAGGGAATCCGTTAAAGACTACTGCACAGCTACTGTTATCCATGAAAAAACATCTATTTGAGAGAAGAGAGAAGGATGGGGGACTGAAGAGGTTTTCAACAGTACCGCTTTAGAATTTGATTTTGACTTGTTGCTGCTGTGATTTGAAACTGTTGATTTATCCTTTACTTTCTTCTTGGCCACTCCAGTAACAACTTCATATATTGTTGGCAGATCATTCATCATGTTGAAAAGAAGTTTCCTAGATTAAAGAGATCAAAAGGATTCAGTAAAGTGAAGAAACTTTCCATACTCGGTAGACTCTAAACGAAGGAAATAATTGTTTTTCTCCATCAAAGAAATTACACAGATGCCTGCTGGGACAATTCTCCTCCAAGCTTTGACATCTGACAAGGTGTAATTATAAGCATCCCTCCAAAATGCTTTACAAAGTGACACAGCAAAGGCTTGTAGGCTGTTCACAACTATTTATGATTCTAAGCAAGATATTTGAACAAAAGATACAATTCTGATATGATTAAAAAGGAAAAAAAAATATACACAAATAAATCACTTGAAAGGTGACCTATTAAAAGTACAAATAACCAAGAAACTATTTTCTTATATTGTTGTAGAATCGAGTTTACCTGTCAGCTCTATCAAAGCCGAATCTGGCACCAAAATAGAAGGAAACAGAGAGTAGCCATGCATCACTATGTACAGCAACCAGAGCTAACCATTCCTTTTCTTGCATCCCATCTCTAGCAAAGTTTATACCTAATGCTGGCTCTGGAAGCTCTGGAGGCACCTCCTCAGCTGGCAAATTGACTTCCCACTGCTCGCTTGGATATCCATAGAGGCAGAGATTTTCCTTTTCTGCAAGGTTTCCAAATATAAAGAAAGAGTAAACAAAGACTAATCACAATCAGAAAAACACTTGTTCAATAAGAAACAACATCTTAGCAAAGCGAAGTCAGAATAAAGCATTGGCGCCACCAAAATCTTTATTATGCAAAAAGTATTTTAAGCACAAAATCAGGCACAAGCTTCAATCTTTTGTCACAAAATTTATCAAGTTGGATGATAATTCAAGAAATGATGAACTAGACTACATTAAATTAATATTTTGAGACTTAAGTCAATAACAAAGCTGGTCAGTAAGCAAAACAGGACCAGACAGAAAATGATCCTACATTCGCAATACCTGCTCAATCAAAGCGAAAAAATGAAGCCCCTATATGAAGTTAGAACAATAACTTCCAAGCTATGAAAACTTAAAACATCTAGGGATTGATTGCTAGAATCATATTGTGAGGGACGACATACAGTAAGCACATAAGACCACGGTTACTATTCACTCATCTCCAGTTCAAGTCCACCCAACCAGTGCATGGCAATTTCAATTGGGACAGAAAGCTTAACCACCAATCAAAATAAGAGATTTCTCCCACAACTCATATGTCTGAAAAATCTTCATTTAAAGTTTTTTCCTCTCACAATGAATTCACATTGCGCACACGGTACAGTACATTACAGACAGAAGTGTTCTTGAAGCATTATGAACAGCTCTAGACGCAAGCAGAACACCAACACCCTATTAAACAACTCTAAAATTTTGAATTGGAAGAGATATTTACCAGTAAAAACAAAATCTCAGTTAAAAGTCGCGCAACAAAAAGAAAACCATGTCTATATAAACAGGACATAGGACAACACAACAAAAAAACAGATTACCCAGAAGTTTAATTTTTAGTAAATTGCTTGAATATAATATAATTGAAAAGAAAAGAAAAACATTCTTCTGTCCTTTGACCCAAAACCCGAAATTTGATTGAAAAAATTAATGCGTTATTATCTCAAATAAAAAAGGGTTCCATTTGGGTCGCCATCAGAAACAGTAGAAATTTGCTAATCACTTGGGTAAAATCAATTAGTACTGAAAAAGAGCAAGCAAATTACATGAAAACTCAAAACCAACGAAATCCGGTAAAAATAAGCGAAACACTCGATAAGAAACATACAGCCAAACGCGGAAATGTATACGAAAAAAGAAGGTAAAGATCCCTAACTAACCAGGGTCACATTGCTGATAAAAATCCTCCACATCTGCAAAAGAAAGACAAAAATGATGAAATGTATCCCAAAAACCAGAAAGAAAGAAAAAAAAAAAGAGCATATAAAGCAGCAAAACAGGAAATTGTCGATAGAGAGAATTGAAATACCAGTGGTGAGGGCTTTGATCATGCCGGCTCGACGGCCAGTAAAATCCTTAAAAACTTCTTCTACAGTGCGAGGATTGTACTGTGCAGCACCTCCTTCCATCTTCACAATGGATCACTCTACACAAGATTTTTATTTAATATTTTTTCTTCCTGCCCCTGTTTCAATTCAGGTAATTTGAACAACTTTTTGAGCACGAAAGGAATATAATGTACAAGGGTATTATCGTAATAATACTGGATCATTTTGGACGGAAGTGGAAATGAAAACAGAGACCAATTCGAATGACGTGGAATAACTTCATTGGTGGACGTCAAGTTTCAAATGTTACTTTAAAAATAAAATAGGAATTGAGGTACGTGTTGGATAAGAATTAAGATGATGATACTAGCAAAAACAGAAATGCTATATTTGCCTACTCAATCACACTGTTAAGTATTGTTTATTGTTTCGATAAATCGTATCGTCACATATTAAGAATTTGAGTTATAAATCTACAAGAAAATGCAAGGTACAATTTGAGTAATAATCCTATAAGAAAAATAGGATACAAGCGAGTGCTACTTTTTAGGCAGGGTAAAAAATAATTACTAGTAATAATAAAGACAATAAAAATTGAAGAAATATTAAGATAACAATATGATTACACTAAATTGAAATGAAACTTTTAACTGTTACTAATAATGAATCTAAACGATACAATACAATAAAATTTAAATAACAATCAAAACAAGCATGATATTTAAACTAATAAATACAATAGGTAACAACAATCCAAACAAGGTGGAATCATTCGATGGAGGTGAGATGAGGAATTTATATGATGTTCAAATATTTTCATGTTCCCAAAAACTAATCACTTTCACTCACGTAAAACGTATATTCAAAAATTCAAATTTTGAAGCTTCAAAATCCATAGCAAAACAGAAGCCTAAACATATTTGCAAATGGGACTAAATAAACTTAAGTACGTACGTATTAAATTACAAGCCGTGATGTTTTCCCCAAATGGTATAATATTATGCAATTTATAGTTGAAATTTGAATACGAACAAGTCCTTCAGAAGAACCTTACAAGCTTTAAGCTGATAATCCTGATGTGTACGTAATAACTAAGGAAAGTTTGAATACATAGATTGAAAGTTCACAAATTATAAGAAAAATCATCACACCAAAATAAAGAGTAAGCCATTCACACGAAAGAATGTCTTCCGCCTGTCATCACTCTCTGGTAGAGAGTTGCCATTCTACGTTTGGCATACAATCAAAACGTTTGAATCCTTATTCATACAACACGACTCAGCTGGACCTATATTTCGACACCCTAGTATTGTTAGTGAGATGCAGTATAAATGAAGACCCTTCACATCTGTTTCCCTTCTGAAAATAGGACACCAAAAAATATCCTCAGAAGAATAAATATTTGAAAGGATGCACTTCCATTCCTTTGATATCACAAACTGCTCTTCATCACTGCAACATCAAAAGAAACGTATTTGAATCCTCGAATCCAAAGTTACAACTGAACTGCCTGAAACTCAACATTTCAGCTTGCAACAAACTCTGAAGATACTGCAAATGATATCACAAACCAAACAGCCACAATTAGCCTAGAAAAGAATTGAAGTTCATCAGCTTTCAAACTTCAACACAGTGAGAAACAATGATCCACAAGGTGCAGATAAATGGATATATGAGGTAGTAGGCATTTCTATTTTGGAAAGGTAATACTTTAACAATCTTGTAGTTTCAGAAAGGAGCTATAACAGGAGCTAAATCAAAAGAATTAATAGCATTTACCGTTCTATGAATTATTAGATACCTGTTGGATATCATACTCTCAAATGTCTTTTCCAGATACTCTTTTATGAGTTAATTTTGAAAATAGATTTTAGACATAACAAAACGGTCTATTCCTTAGGCTGATAGAATAGGACATGACTTCCCTTTCAGATATCTAGAGGGATCAGTCATACTTGACCCAGTCTTCGACAGGCAATTTTTTTTTCAGGACAGTTTAAATGGGGCTGACTGTCCAGGTATATAGGAGGCTTGCAGCCTCTAGAACCCTAACTTAACAATATCCTTCCAAGAAGATTTATCATCTGTGTCTTCACAAATATTTTCTTAGACGATAATTAAGATGCCCAAAACCATATAACAGAGAAAAGATAGAAGAACAATAGCAGGTGAAGTTGATATCTGCAACTAACCCTTTTGCTTAGAGGACAGTTCCGAATCCTTCTTTGATTCATCATCCTTCTTCTCTGGGACAGTTTCTTCCAAATATTTCTGAATTGTCCTCCAATAATGATCACCACCTGCCAACCAGGTATCCATGTGCATCCCACTAGGAAATTCCACAAATAAGCATTGCCTGTTGCGTGCAGCTGCCTTTGCATACAACATCTGCATGTGGAATGGTGGAACCATCTCATCTTGTAATCCAGATAGGAAGAGGATTGGTTGCCTGATCTGCACTCAAAACAATCAGATAATATAAGCCAGACGTCTGAGCTAACTTGAACATAACAAGGACAACAAAAGCCAGAAACATAATTTCAACCAGCTTCCTTCCGAAAAAAGGGGGAATAAAACATAATTTCGACCAGCTTCTAGCAACTCAACAATAAATAAATAAAAGGCGAGCAGACACAGTAATATCACAAAGTTTAAATAAAATCTAAGATGGTTCAGGGCTTCAGGCCACTATAATAATACACAGATTCATGGTCGATAAGAAACCCTGCTGTTATCAAAACGTGCAAGAACAGTAACTAGATCTCTCAATATCACATCATTCACATCTTATCTATGAAATTACACATATACGACTGAGATGCAATTCAAGTGCATTTCATAGTAAATGAATACGTCAGAGTTCTTCACTTTTTTCCCGGAATTTTTTTTAAACTTCATCTGAAAATCAGCATTTAACCATGAAAATTCCAAATACAACTTGAAGTTGAAGCTATATTTGAAATTTGGAAAACACCTCAAAACTTGTTTTCATTTATTTCCATCTCACTTTTTACCATTGCATTTATTTCTCTTTTTTTAAAAAAAAAATTGCCCTAAATGTTTTGTTTTTATAAAAAATGACCCGTTTAAATTAGCCACTAGCCAGGGAATTTTAAAAAGTGCAGAACTTTATAAAAAGCTTGTTTTTATTAAGCAAGCCAAGTGATCACTTTCCAAGAAATTATAAGTGCAGCACTTAAGAAATTGCTTGGCAACATGCCTAAATTAAGGGCCCGTTTGGGCATGCGATATGGTAATCATGATATGGAATCATGAGATGAAATTGAAGTTTTGTTTGGACATGCGATATGGAATTTTTGTGTTGTATATTTTCTCATAAACATAAAAATCTCATAAGTTGTAAAACTATTAAAATAGCCCCAATTGTTATTCAATCTTATTAAATAAACAAAAATTTATAGAACCGCATAATAAATTATTACAAAGCTATTTTTTCTCCACTTAAGTAATTGTTTCATTTAACTTTAATTTAATAAAAAAAATTGAACAAAAATTGTAGTGTACTAGTCTTTAATATAATCCTCCCACATAGTATGGACAATTTCCTCACGTTGAACTTGCATTTCTCGATCATGTGACCGAGAAGATGAACCAACATTGTTACTTTGAGCCATTTGTTGGTCAATATCATCCGCAACTATATTTTCATGCTCATAGACCATAAATATTTCATCACTTTAACAATCGGTTGGTGTGAGTTAAAGTGACTATATGTTGGTGAGAATAATAAATTTTATGTAGGTGAGAATAATAAATTTTATTTACATATGAAATAAATGGTTAGTAGATATAAATGTGGGGTTGTTTTAACAAAATATAAACTCGTGGATCAATTTTTGTATTAAAATATTTCAAATCATGATATGGAATTACCATATAATTCCATATCATGGTTTTTGGAGAATATGGAATCACATCTCATGAGATGGAATCAGCGTAAAATCGCATGTCCAAACGCTGATTCCATCTCACGATGCCATATCGTGATATGGTATCGCATGGCCAAACGCCTACTAAGTATCACTCTTTTATGCATTTTTTTGAAATGGGTGCTTACATGGGAGGTTAAATCATTGATTATATGTGCTTTTACTTATGAAATCTTATTTTTTCCTTGGTTTGATTCATATACTTCTCTTGGATTTTGATTTTTCTTTGTGTTCCTTTGAAATGGTCAAACAGGTATGTAGATATGTATGATCTGGTTGTCATTTTCTTGGAGAGTTTTCTGTTCCATTACTTTGTTGGTGCTTTTATGTCTGTTTGGTCCGATGTTAATATAGATAACAAAATCAATGGAGCCAGCTGACTATTTCTGTGTTTCTTTTCTTTTTCTATAAAGATTCACTTTGTAAAAATGTGGTAACCTATTTATGATATTATGTGACTATCCATCATGAGATATTACTGTTATAGAGCAGATTTGATTGTATGATTCATGTAAATTAATTAAGTTTGATGGTTTTGCTAGTTTTTAAAAATTGAGGGGTACAAATCATATTTCATGCTCTTAGGAAAAGTACATTCAAGAAGCCAAATATTTTTTTTTGAGAATTAGCAACCAAATATTCTTTGCAAAAACTATAACCATATACAAATCCATCTTCAACTTCAACTTCAGAAATTCCAAATAAAGTGGAAAATATTTGGTTTCTATGGTCAAATGCCTACTAAGAAAAAAGGATCTGAAATGACTTATCCACGTTACTACTTTAGAACACTTCGCTATATTTAAACCATGAAATATATTACCTCGATCCAATTTAATTACCCAGTTCTGTTTTAGTCCATCCTAAAAATTATGAACTATTTGCTAGAAATGTAATTTTTATCCCTCCAAGAACTTAACTTAAACTTTACAAACTTGAGTCACATCTTCACAACTTTCTCTACCTTTAGTAGACTCAATAAAACAAAAAAACGAAGATTACTCTGAAGAAAAAGTCAACTCAAGTCAATTCAAATGGGACAGAGAGAGTTATAAAGATGCATCCTCACCTCACCAATGACATCAATGGTATTCCATGGAGATCGAACAACAAAGTTAAGAAGTTTGAAACCCTTTGAGCCACTGCCACCAATGACCCACTTCAAGAATGGCAAGAGAACTCCTGCCATATCCAGGATAGAGGTGAAAGTATTCTCCAAAATGAGCCCAGCAACCTACAATAGTGAAAGAAAACTAGGATTTGAATGTCAAAAAACCATATCCAGGATAGACGTGAGAGTATTCTCCAAAATGAGCCCAGCAACCTACGATAGTGAAAGAAAACTAGGATTTGAATGTCAAAACACATGTACAAGTTATAAGCACTTTCAGCTATTTAAACACCTTGGAACAGAAATGTTTGGAATAAAACCCCGAAAGATAGACACAGAACAGTAAGAAACAAAAAAGAGGTCCATATAGATTCCCCTAAACAAAATAGACAGACTCTATTCTATGCAGCTTGACCCAGAACGTGCTTAATCAACTATATGTAATCGGCAGTGGGAAAACCTCAAAAATAAACTGATCACCACACACATCAAACAGGAAATTCATAAACAAGGAACTTGAATATCAAACAAGAAAACAATAATCAAGGCATATCAATTTGCGGATCATCTAAGAAACGCGGGATCAACTGAAGAATACTAATAGAATTACCAAAATCTAGATACTTGGGTCACTCACATCAAACCATGGAACTACATTAAGGGAGATTTTTTCACTTGGCATGTGGAGTTAATGTTTTCTGTAATACCAATAAAGATTCAGTTGAACAGTAGACTACTATTACATTCTTTCAGATGTGAAACTCTTCTCCTATGCATGAACTGGATGTAATATTGGATGAAGATTAAAGTATGTAGAAATGGAGTAATATTAAGCAAACTCAGGTTCTGATGGGGTCTCAATACTAGAAGAACATCAAAAGTTTTTAGCTACGTAATGAACAAATAGCGCAAAAGAGGATAATGTACTTAAAGAACATCATGGTCATGAGATAAATCGTAGAGGTTATACACCCAAGAGACTAACATCATAAGTTTATTTGGACTTCTATTTTATTTGAGAAAATGGGAGCAAACATTCTCCTAAACTCATCCATTGAAGAAGTGATAAAAAAAAGAACTAAATCAGACATCCCACATATACGAGGAGTAGCCTGTAATTTTACATGTATTACAAATAATAATACTATATTACAAGCTAATATCTTATCTTACGGTCAATAGTTTAGGTGCAGAAGAGATTTCTCTTTACTCTAAAGGGAAAGAAAAAAAAAGAAACGTAGCTTTATTTTTATTCTAGAAAAAAATAGTGTTCTTTTTTTCTTCGTCATATTTATAAGTTGCCCCTCTCATGCTGGTGATGAACTCAGATTAGTTTAGTTTTCGCTTGAAAGCTTGTATTCCTACCAACCTCCAAAGAGTGCCTCTAAAAGTTATTTACTTCAATCAGGTGGAGCCAAGAGTACCCATAGAGCATATAAGTTTGAAAGAAACTTAACAAAGGACTATGAATTCTCTTTCCATGATGGAGCCCATGTTGAACTTAAATTTAAGGAGTAAAGAGGAAACTAAACAAATTAGAGATAATCAGGCTTTATAACATTATTAAACCTAACAGCATGACAAAAATAAAAATGAATTGCTACATTACCTTGTCAGGATTGTTTTTGGTAAGAACAGTACCAACAGCTCCTCCAAGTGACCTTCCAAAGACTACTATTCTTGATGTGTCAATATCGGTCCTCTGAACTAAATGATCCAGTGCAGCCTATTGAAAAAGACAAGCACAATTATGTAATTTCATAAACAAGGTTTAGGTCAAAATCTATGAAATTGGGAAAGCTAACAAAACCTGAGCATCCTTTGTGATCCCATGCTGAGAAGGGTATCCATCACTGGCTCCGTAACTTTGTTACAACAAAATTATTAGAAAATGAAAAAGACACTAGTTAATCAAAGACAAAGCACAGACATGAAACTGACAAATATGGGGAAATGATTTATACCCTCGATAGGAAAGCATAAAAACATTGCATTGCAAACGTTGTAACATTATGCGAACCATTTCAAGACGGTGTGCAATATCTGCAATTAACTAGTAAAGGATAACCAAACGAGATAGGGTTGACTTTTATAACATGAGTGCAAGAAGAAGATTAAGAAAAGGAATATGGAAACAAGGTCTGCAAATCATTCAAGAAGACATTATAACAAAAGGATACTTCCTGCATTCTCTTGAAAAAAGATGATAGTTGGGCCTGCAGAACCAAAATAGTATCTCAGCATAAATTACACCAACCAGCAAACAAAAACTAATCATATGTGGACAACACGTCCAAATTAGTTTAAAATCCTTGTAAGCATCACTTCCTACATCAGTAGAAAACAATGCAGAAACATCATAGCTGTGCATGCTCCAGCTAGGTGGTTAGGTTGCTAAGTGTACTGAAGATATATTAGTTTAAAACTTTAAATGAGCTACTGACTTGGAGTTCAAAGGTGAATGTTGATATTGTATTTCGGTTCTATTTTTGTTATGATAGATGGTTAACTAGCAACCCTGCCACCACATCCATACTTCTTGCCTTGGCAACATAATAACCACTATCATACACACTAATTTACAATCAGGATTTTTAATCTCCGCTGATAGATGTTGATGTGCATCTGTAGCAGCATTCTAACAGTTTGCCTCCACTACATTTTGCCAAACCTATTGGCAGTCATAAGTACCTACTAATTCTGAACTCTTGGGATCCAGGAATTAATCATTTTATATGAAGATCATAGCTCATTTGCACAAACAAAATACTCAAAGAATCATTTATCAAGTAAAATTGAGGAGCAAATTAGAAAACCACATCAACCAATCTTATTTCGTTCAAAAAGTAACTCTCATTTCTATAGACGTTAATCCATAATCACCAATTCTCTCGCACAATTCAGGTAAAACATAAACTAAAAGGTTGTAAAACTGAAATTAGGTCAAAATCATCCGGAAGTTCACTAGTAACTTCAAAAAATATGGGTTAATTTAGTTGAAAATCACAAATCGAACACAAATTACGCCCATATCGTCTAATTAGAGTAGATAAATCCTCATATAAACATAAGAAAACGCAGTTTAAGAGAGAGTGTAGAGACCTTTGCAGTCAGGGAAGAGTTTGATGAACCAAGCATGAAGACGAACACCGTCTGAAGATCTGAGCCAAACATCTTCGTAAAGGAGTCGAAGTCGAGCGGGAGTAATTGGATATGCCTTAGTGAGTCCAGGTAAGACCGGAACATATACAAGTTTTTCCTGAAAGGCGACCAGTATTGCCATCCCCGCCACCACTATTCCTCCCACTCCGTACAGCAACAAGCTCACGTACGACACCATTTCTGTTCCCTCAAGTTTTTCGAATTGACTGTAGAAAATGGAGGACTTCGAGTAGGAAAATGAGTTAAATTCTTCTGTAATTGTTGTCAACTCATGTCTACACTCATATGCCTTTTTGTTTCACCACCGATCCCGCGACGGTTGTTTCCTGCTTCTACGATTTTATTTTAACTAATTAATTAATATTTTATTTTATTTTTTGATTTATCGTCCAGCCTTCCAAATCCGTATATTAATACCAATTCGCTTTGGATAGGCCCCATTCATGAGGTAGCGTCATTGATTAATGGGAAAAGGGACAAATATATTCTCAAAGTATTGTAAATGGTATGCAGATATTCTCCGTCATACTTTTGGGACATTGGTGTCTCTGTCGTCCAAAAATTAGAGCATGTATACCCTTTATACTAACGGACATACACATGTTATAATTTTATCCACCGATCGACATTTATTAAATGTTGGATCGACGGATAAGATTGTGTCACGTGTCCTTATTTTGTCTTCCGTTAGAGTGAAGGGCATATATGCTCTACTTTTTGGATGACAAGGGCAGCAGTGTCCCAAAAGTATAACGGAGGGTATTTGCATACCATTTGCGATAGTTCAGGGGTATATTTGTCTTTTTTTCCTTGATTAATTTTGTTATTAATGTATTTAGTGGTGTACGAATACTTTTTAACAAGAGCAGAACGTTCATGAGAATCGATTATAGGTTAAAATTAAAATCAAACCAATTCAATTGATTAATGAATTTTTAAAATTAAATTAAATAGTCATTTAATTTCCTAGAGCTTGACCAAGAAGCTACAAACACATATATTTACACGAAGAGATTAAAATTAAAAACTTTTAAAGGGAATTTATGTATAGGGGACGGAAAGATTGGAAATACTTGTATTTTTAAAGAGTTCATAAAATGTGGAGAGTTTTTGTCTAAACTAGGGATGGGCATAAATATCGGAAAATCAAAAATCGAATCGAATCGACCTAATTCGGTTTTTCAGTTTTTCGGTTCGGTATCGGTATTATTTTTTCGAAAGTTCGGTTCTTCGGTTCGGTGTTCGGTGTAAGGGTCTCAAAACTTCGGTGCACCGAAGAATCGAACTTTTATTTTTTAAAATTAAAAATTAAATAAATATATATATGGGCATTCTCTTAACTAAAAATTAAAAATTCAACTAACAATTAAATCATTCATGAACAAATCAATATAACAACAAATGTACAATTCAATAGTTAACTTCAAATATAATTTCCAATAGAAACTCAAACATATTTCTACCAATGTACATTATGTAAAGGAACCGTCTTCGTACTTATTTTTCTCGAGAAATAGTTGGAGGCACAATGTTCTTGATAAAGACAAATATAGTCTTTTAGTTAGCACAATAAGTGTTCCACGATGATACGCATCATTCCTTAACATAATTTTAAATTTCTAAGTATCTTATACTTTATCCTTATTTTATTTTTCATTCACACCGAACTAAATCAAACCGAAGTAGAAAAAACCGAATCGAACAAATACGATGCACACTTTTCTAAAACCAAAAACCGAAGAACCGAACTGAAGTTTGATAAAACCGAATCGAAGAACTGAACGCCCATCCCTAGTCTAAATTGAGTCCTAACTAGTCTAGTGTTTTTGCTTTGCTAGAGGCCAATTTGTCCCAACACCCAGATTGTTATGGAATTAGGTTTACTTTAGGTGTATTTAATTTTACTTGTTATGGTAATCATATATGATTGTTATCATAGTATCAAAAGAAAAGAGAAAAAAATCTCTTTTATTACTATGGTCTATTTTTTTCTCATACGTCGTTTGTTTGCTTACTAAAAATAAATGTCCCCTTTTACTATTTCAAAGAGCGATATACTCATATTATCATTTTATTCATCACTTTTAAAAAGAGTTCGGGGTCAAAAGGGCAAGAATATCAAAAGGACAATAAAATTGAATTGAGAACCAAAAGGATAATATTTAAACGATCTAACAAACACCGTTTAAATTAGGAAAAAAGAGCAAGGCGCGAGATTTGATGTGCCTTGTAAGGTGCAGGGCTGCGCTGCCTTACAAGGCGCTAGGCCCTTGCGCCTTTTCCTTTTTTTTTTTGTTTTGTTTTTAGTTTATGTTTTATTTTTGTTTTGTTTTTATTTTTTGTTTTTAGTTAGTTTTTCCCTTTCTTTTTTCTTGTTTTTCCTTTAAATTTTTTATTTTTTTTGAATTTGCTCTTATTTATTTTGCATGTGATTTTATATTTTTTTATCAATTATAAAATGATATTTTTCAAACTTGAATTACTAAAATCTTATCTAAAAAATCGGAATGAATAATTTTCTAAAAAAATATTTAAAAGGCAATAATTTGCTATTTATTTTAAAATCTTACTATAAACTATGCTTTTTTGTTTTTCCTTTTAATTTTTTGTTTTTTATTTTGAAGTTGATCCTATTTATTTTGCATATGATTTTCATATTTTTTTTAGCAAATATAAAATGATATTTATCAAACTTGAATTAAGAAAATCTTACTTAAAAAATCGAAAGGAATAATTTGCTAAAACGAATATAAAAATCACATGCAAAATAAAGGAACAACTTCAAAATAAAAACAAAAATTAAAAGAAAAAAAAACTAACTAAAATACCAAAGAAATAAAACATAAACTAAACACAAAACCAAAAAAAAGAAAGGAAAGAGGTGCAGGGGACATGCGCCTTGTAAGGCTGCACAGCCATGCGCTTTATAAGGCGCATCAAATTTCGCGTCTTACTCCTTTTTTCCTAATTTAGACGATATTTGTTAAACTGTCTAAATGTTGCATTTTTGGTTCTCAATTCAATTTGTTGCTCTTTTGGTATTTTTGTTTAATTTTCTTGGCTTTTTGGCTCCGGACAGTGATTTATCATGTACTAGTTATACTAGACATCAGAGCCCGTGCTAGCACGGGTCCAATATGTATCATTTTTTGTTTCAATTTATGTGACAAAGACAAAATTAAAGAGTTAATCAAACTTTAATATTAATTTAAAATAGTTTAAATTTTTAATTATTGTTAACTATGGTAAAAAAATTTTTTATGTCTTTTAACATTCTAAATTGCTAATTATTGTTGTATGATTTGTAATATCTTTTACGCAATTTTGAAATAATAAAGGTTATTTCTTCTTTCTCAATTTATGTGGTACTAATAAAATTTAGAGATTCAATCAATATTTTTTGTCTTTAAAAATATTCTATTGTTAATTACTGTAAATTATTGTACTTTCTAAGTAATTTTCAAATAATATATATTATTTCATTTGTCCAATTTATGTGTCACAGATAAAATTTGAAGAGTTAATCAGAACTTTTACATATTTTTATATATTTTGAATATTTAAGTAAATAATTATTGTGATTTATAATATTTTATACAATTATTTAAAAAAAATTAAACAACAAACAAAACGAATTCATCATAGGAAAATTACCAAAGCATCCTTGAATACAACAATAATGGGTCCCACTTTTTGTTTAAAAAAATATGCATATTGGGAGGATATTTTTGTCAAAAGTGGAAATAGAATAAGTATAAAACATTAAAGTCTTTTAAAATTTTAAATTGTTAATTCTTATTGTATGATTTGTAATACTTTTACGTCATTTTCAAATAATAGAGGTCATTTCTTCTTTCTCAATTTATGTAGTACTAAAAAAAATTTGAGATTCAATAAAAAAAAATTGTCTTTGAAATATTTCTAGTTGTTAATTACTGTAATTTATAGTACTTTCTAAGAAATTTTCAAATAATATATATTATTTCATTTGTCCCAATTTATGTGTCACTGGTAAAATTTGAAGAGTCAATCAGATCTTTTATATATTTTTATATCTTTTAAATATTTAAGTAATTAATTATCGTGATTCATAATATTTTATACAATTATTTAGTGTAGTAAAAGAAATTTAAAAGAAACAAACAAAACGAATTCATCATACGAAATTACCAAAGCATCCTTTAATACATCAATAATGGGTCTGACTTTTTATTTTTAAGAAATTGCACATTCGAAGGATATTTTTGTCCAAAGTGGAAATATTGTGTAAAATATGTGTATTTATTGTGATTTTGAATGTTTCGTGGGGTAATAGGACGCACGCAAAGTTAATGTGTCTTTTTGAAAATCTGGGACAACTTCAAGTAACTTAATGTTTTTTCTCAAAATCTAATTTACTTTCGTAAACTATGTGTCAGATCAAAATCAGATTAACAAATTCAAAAGGAATGAGTAATAAATAGCTCATACAATGACATATTTATTATTTAACTAAATAATAAATATGTAACTAAAAATCTTGTTAGCTTTTGGTTGAAAGCTAACAAGATAGTTACAATTAACTAAAAGTCTTGTTAGCTTTTGGTTGAAAGCTAACAAGATAGTTACAATGATAGTTGCATTGTGACTTATTATATATATCACATAATACCAAGTAGTATTAGTTATACATCGGTTGAATACGTATACCAAACTAAATATTATTGACACACAAAGATAATGCGAATAATAATGCATCATACCAAATAACCCCTAAAGGGATAAAGTGTAACTAAACCAACTTCAATTAATTTAACCAACTCCTAAGACCTAACGGCTTAGTACCACTCTTGAAGCTCAACATACATCCTCCTTAAGCTACAAAGTTATTTTCCTCTTCTATTCAAATCCAAATTCCCTTCCTAGCTGCATAACTCTCTCAAGTATAAGTTCCATAATTTGTTTCCACGGGACCGAAATATGAGGTACAATTAGAGACAAATTTATGATTTAAATTCTACATGTTTAATTTTTAAGATTCTTAGCATTGAATTCATTATGTTCTTAAATTTACGAGTTCATATATATTATTTGTTACAATTTAATAATCTTTTACATACAAATTTATGTTTTGCTTTGAAAGTGAACCCAGTATCCTAAGGGTGGACATGCCCTAGGCACAAACTTGTTGTTTTTGTTTAATCATGCGCCTACTCACTGACTCTTCTAGCTCTACACAATGAGGATTAACAATATCAATAAACAGACATGATTTCAATTGGGAAACCTGGAAGATAGGATGAAGTGCA